AACATAATAGTGGTACAAGTGCCACGCTGCCTTGACAGGTACTTCACTGCAAACAAATCTACTCCCATAATGCCAAGAGGGGGATTTCAATGAGCTTTCATATATAGGTTAACATTTTCCAGGTTTAGTTTTCTCCCAGGTATGAGTTCTTATAAAATGAGCAGCAGTACTCATTTTTGTTAGAAGATTAGAAAATGTTATTTTAATTTCCTGAGCTTTTTATATCTTTTGGCCAAAGTTCCATATATCATAAAGCAATGCTTTCTGATAAGGCGGAGAGCCCTTAAAAGTTTTTATGAAGAGTCTAAAACAGTTGTGAGCTTCTAAAAATGGCATTTCATGCAAACATCTTTTACCTCGTGAGTACCTGCATTTCCAGTTGTAAGTAGCTGTTCTGGACAGCTTTGGCATGGTGTAATTATGTATTTTCCTTTCTTCAGGTTTTGTAAGTTATGACAATCCTGTCTCTGCACAGGCTGCCATTCAGTCAATGAACGGCTTTCAGATTGGCATGAAGCGTCTGAAAGTACAGCTTAAGCGCTCAAAGAATGACAGCAAGCCATACTGAGCGCCCCTCCCCTCCGGGACTGGAGTGAGAAGGATCTTCTGGTAAGTTGGAGAGGAGCGCACTTAGTGATTCGAAGCCCTAAGGCTGTGTTTTTACAGTCCTGGAAGCTGATCCATGCCTTCTATCTGGCACATCTTCCCCTGAAGACTCGGCTGCAGCCTCTGCTGAGAATCCCGCTTCGGATGGAGGACAAGTTTGTGCTTTTGTTTCCAGTGTTTTACTTTGGAGTTTAGGTGCCATATCGCTGAGGTGTTGTTTTTTTTTTGTTGTTTTTTTTTTCCTTATTTGAAGTTTGCTGTGTTTGTAACCAGTGTGTGTTGAGAAGGACCAATGCCAGCTCCTTGTGAGTGGGGAGGGAAGGTTAAAAGGAGCAGCAGAAACTGACACCACACTGCCTTGGGGTAGAGAGGAGAAGGGGAAGCAGAACTGACACCACACCACCATGGGGGAGAAGAGAAGGGAAAGCAGAAATAACACAGAACAGCTGATGAAAACAAAGATGGGGAAGGAGAACTGAGTCCATCCAAGTTTGGGACAGCAAAGAACCGTCTCCGTGCAGCCTTTATCGTGCCCCATCCACTCTTTGAAATTTCCTTAACTGTATGCCATGGTGGGGATTTAGTAAATCATCTCTGAAGCAGGAGACAGGCTAGAAGGGTGAACACATTAACAAGCCAAAGGAAAACTGCAGTGATTTTTGTTGCTGTATATGAAGTAGTGTTCATATAGCACTGTGAATGTACACAGCACTTTATAAAATTATTAGATAATGTCCCTGCCCAGAAAATTTCACTGACCGTTTACAGTTGAATATTAATGAGATGCAGTGAATTTCTCCATATTTAAGAAAACTTATCCTGTGTACTTTATCTAGGTTTTATAGAAAGGCATAGAGAGAGACAGCTTAGTTTGGATGAATACATCTGGGGCTGGAGACAAGAAACTTTTGATCCCTGGTAACCTGCAGAATTTTTTTGACAATTTTTCTTCTTAACAGTTCATCACATTCCCCATTTCTGTGGAATAATGTCCTTTATGCAGAGTATTACTTTGAATTCATTCTGATAAGCATAATGTAAGTGCTGTTTGTTTCTCTATTAAAATGACTGTTAAATTGAGATACAAAGCCCAGAGGTACCCTAACACAGCTCTTGAGGCTCCTGTTTCATACTTGTTCTCATAGGATTTGATTTCTCAGTCTTAACTCTGTTGCAAAAATAACTTCTTGTGTTTTTTAAAAAAAAAACAACAAACACAAACCCATTTGTGCAGTGATTTGGTAATTAGGTCTTTTTTTATACTGCAGTTTTCCTTTAAGGTGGTGTGTACCAGTGCAAAACAGGCTAACACAGGAGCTGTGGAACCAGAGCAGAGCATTGAGCCATTCAGTCTTATTCTGTCTTTCGGTACTAGCTGTTTATTTTCTATATTGAAGGAAAATTGAACACACCCCTTCAATGAACACACACTTTTTCTGCACACTTGTGAAATTGCTAATGCATTGCTAAGGGCCTTTGTTATACACTGGTTTTAGGGGGCTCAAAGGACTTTTGACACTCTGGCCTGAGTTGTTTTAAGAGATCAGAGTAGAGTCCCGTTTTATAACCACCAAAATTCACCTCTCTCATAAGAGGAAGTTTACAATTTCTGTGCGTCTTTAACAGAAGTTCCATTTACCTCATATTTTCTCATTTTTCCTTGTTTTCTTTGTATTCCTGGTTTGTGATGCTGTTTCCCAGGACACCAGCTAACGCTGTGTTTGGGAGCCAGCTGCTGAATGATGAGTGTGTGGGTCAGACATAGGGTTCGGACTTTCTGTTCTGCTCCAGCAGGAGGAGCACTAAACCCATCAAACCTGAGATCACGTTCAGAATCCGCATCCATGTTTGGTGGCCTGTTGGGAATGCAGGGCATTCCCAGGGGTAGGGTCCTCTGGGATCTCAAACCTCAGAAGTACAAGGCCTGACCCGTAGTATCCAAGAAGAGCCCTTTCCATTCTTAAATTGAAAATCAAGCAGTTAGTTCATGCCAGTCTGTCTATATTGATGGCAGACAGGTAAATCTATCAGTATTATTCAAATCATTTTGTGGTGGCAAAGGTTCAAAGGCCAGATTGCCAAATTTCCCAGTTATGCTGGCATATGGTACCCTTCTATGTTAATTATTTGAATCTCTCTAGAAACATGAACATACACTTAAGTGAACCATGTACACTTGAATTCTGCACGATGGGAAAGATGTGTCCTGGTTTTCTGAGAAAAGAGTGTTGGAGTGTGAAGGCCTCCAGGGTGATAATGGGATTTTTTTTTTTATAAATAATATACTTTTCAAAAAAAAGAAAAAAAAAAGAAAAAAAAAAAACATAGTTGAGAGCAACTGCTCCAAGTACAACCTGCTGTAACCAAGAATGTTGTTTCTATTTTTATAGAAGTTTTATACTGCTCCAGGGTGGAGAATATTTATTACCTAAATTATTTCACTGGAAAAAAAAGGCCAGGGTTTTGTAGAATCCTAAATGTGATTGTTTTACACACATAATGATGTGCATGATTGAAACTACTGATTTTCAGTGGCCTCTTTGCAGCCCCACAACTGCTAAATGGGGAAGACGAACGCTGTGAACCAGTGGAGGAGAGCACTGTGCTCTGGGGTCTCTACAGTCACTCTTACCTTCTTTGCACCCTAGCCCACTGTACTATCCGAGACCTTTGTCCTGTTCTTCTTTTAACCTGATGCTCTGGCCTCTTTACTAGTTATTTCAGTTGCCCAAAATTAGGTATTTTAGCTTCTGCATCCTGTAGTGTGTCCTCAATACTGTAGCTTATGGATCAAGTTTGGCATTGTTGCAAATAGGTGCAACTCCTGTTGACTTTAGGAGATTCACCAGTTTACACTGTGGCTTAGTTTTATCCGTGACTCCTCCCGGACATAATCACCTTAAGACACCTAATTTGGGCTAACTCTCTTGTGCCTTACTGGCATAACTGTAAGTATTGCCAAAAAGAAGAAGAAAAAAAAAAAATCTATGCAGGTTAAATTTTAGAAGATGTGATCCTCAGATGTGTTGAATCAATGCAGTTCTGCTCTCTTTAGTAGAGCTGCATCAGTTTTCACCAGCTGAAGATGTTGCCCTTTCTGTGTATTTGTTTCAGATTTACCTTTCTTGGTGTATCAATGTATATGTTGCCAAAGTTAATAAATGTATCAAGTATGTGACTTGGGCAGATTTTTTTCTGAAAACAGAACTGATCAGATAAGTCAAGATTTCTGTGTCTGTCTGGTGGCTGCCGCTGACTCTGGAGCTTTAGGCTTTTCTTGCCTTCCAGTCTTAACCCAGTTTTCTTCCTCACTCACTGGCAGGAAAGGCTGGGATTTTGGGGACTTGGGGCCTTTAAATTTATTTTTAATTCCTATCATGCTCTTGTTCAAGCGCAAATCAAATCAGCGTCAAATGCTTTATTTACTGGATAGTAGGATAAGAGTTGAGTGAGTTCAAATAAACTGCACAAGGATTGGCTTAAGTAGCTACATAGATAAAGTATTCTGTATGCTCATAAACCAAAGAATCTGAATTTTCTACAACAAAAGCTAATAGGACTGCTGATGAAATGGAATTCCACATTACATGTGCCACCAGGAAGTACTTACGTATTTTTAGATACAAGATGGAAATGGTCTGCTTCATAGATATATTTTTTTCTCAGAAGACATTTGATTTTACTAGATATGCCGTAATAAGATGAAAGTATTATGAACAATTGAAGTCTTAGTCTGATGCTACTTTGTATCGAGTGTTATAGTAAAAGAAATCATATTCTTCAGTCCCCTAGATAATCAACAGTCCAAATTAGGATATCTTTTTGTAGTTTAGGTTTTTTCTTCCAGTAATACAAAGCTTGCATTGTTAGAAATTGCCTTTGATATATAGTGATTAAATTTTAATCCTAAGCAGAATGAGGATTGGAATTTTGCCAAAGTATCTGATGCAATGATGGTGAGTATCTCTTTATGTTTTAATGGTGAGGCAGTTTACTCGCTGTGGGCACTACTATCTGGAAAATAGGCACCTCAGAAAATTTCTCACTGGCGAATATATCTATAAGGAACAAGCTTTTCATATGAATACTGAATAGCATGATAGATTCTGCTTGCATGATAGAATTAACTGAAGTGTTTCTTCTTGTTAATGGTTGTGAGTTAGGGAAGAACAAGCAGAATGAAATTGTTCCTATTCCATTTGTAAATATCTAAAAGCAACTTGGACAAAGCAAATTGCAAATGAAGGGTGCAACTACGAACATGTAAAATGCTTTGAGAGCTTCTTGTTGCAAACATTTAAACATAAGGATGCTATATATCCCTGAGCACACCTACCACAAAATACAAAACACAGAAGGCAGAATTATCACAGTTGTCAGAATAAAACAAGGATGAACTGGAATAACTTTCCCCAAGTCATTAAGTTCTTATCCAGCATCACATGGCTCTGCTCTTGTAGGCCAGTCCTTCCTCATGCCTTTAATGAAACTTAGTCTTCCCCTCAAAATTGCTGAGTCAAATATTTGAAAAATATCAAAAAACACCTAAACAAATCACACAAAGAATTTCTGTGGTGCATGCTTAGATGGCCCTTGATTGCATGCCTCTTGTTTCTTATGTCTCAGTTTGACGAATTTGCCTTTCTGGTTTAGGACTGAAACCTTACAGCTATCTGCAAACTATGTAGAGTATTTCTAGAACTATAGAAATAACTGCAGGAGTTGCATTGTACTCTGTTTGCTGGAGTTGGTTTAAACTCCATACTAAGTCCTTTCCCTGAATTGGAAAGTATGAGGAGCAAATGAAGCTCAGCAGTTCTAGTAAGGGGAGAGTTGCAGACTTAGTGGACAGTTTGCTTCTTGTCGCTTTGGATCTAGAATGCAAAACTTATTATTCTTAAATATGCTCTAAATGCTATAAGATAATATGCAAATCTCACCTTGCTCTAGTCTCTAACCAGTGGCTTTGAGATGTGCTGAAGAATAAGGCCACAAACAGGACATAAAGGAGGGAAGGGGGGCAGGGAGGAGGAAGGAAGAAAAAAGAAAAAACTTGCTTCCTCTCTCCTCTGCCTGCCACAATCTTCCCAGAAATGTTCCATGTCTCTTGTAATTCACAAGCTGAGGAGAGGACACAAAGGTATTTATATCACTTAATATAAGAATTATTTTATTTGTCAACTCTTCAAGAAAGCTTCAGGAAACACATATTTTTTTTTCTACTCCTCAAACTGGCAACAGTGACTGTAGAGCTTCTCAGAGTCCAGAATCCCCTCCTCATGAAGTCAGGGAGCTGGGGGCTGTTTATATAAAAGGTTGGGAATGGAAAATCCCTGTGCAGGTCTAATGGTATGAAAAGTGCTCAGCTAGGACAAGTCTTAACTTGCAGTCAAGTCTTAAGGAATTCTTCTCTGATGCGTGGAGTTTTTGTCTTGTATAATCTTCCCCACCCCACCCCCGTTCCAGATCACCTACCCCCAGTTTCATGGGCTCCTAGGGAATGAGAAGGGACTGTAGCTGAAAGAACGTGGATTTCCTGGGCTACCACTGCCTAAGAACTTCCCATGTTAGGATGCAAGAAGAGTCTCAGCCGTCAAACCACCTGTGAAACCCTTGTGTCCTCTGTCTTGTCTCTCGTGGTCTTAGTCTCTGTGGGCAAATGTTAGCCCTGGAGTCATGTTTTTTGGAGTCAGTCTCCTGGGGAGGGAGCTTGCTCTGTTCTTCCCCTAAACAGAGCTAGCGGAGACACTGGGCACGGGGCAAGGTGAATGCGTACTAATCAATGTGTCACTAGGCTGTGGTGTGCTCCACAGACTGGGTGTTGAGAGGGAAATCCAGGCCTCTGCTTCCATTTGGTTTCTGGCAGTTTGATGTTTACTCAGTGTCCTTCATGTACGTCAACTTGTACTTGTCCATCGTTGGCATGTGCTGCCCTTCCTTGTCAACTCCCTTCCCCAGGAGATCTCATTGTACAGTGCCCATTCTTGTTCTCTCTCTCCGTGTTTGGATGTACTGCTCTGTGTAACTCAGTGGGTCTCCCTCTTTCTGGTTTGTTTTTTTTCTAGATTCCTGCCGTTTGTTCATCGTTGTGCCTAAAGTGCCAGTTCAAGTACATCGTCCAAATCCTTGTCCATGTCGATGTGGCGTTCAAGTACATCGTCCAAATCCTTGTCTCTTCAGCTTCTCTGATGCTTGAACTCTCACCTTTGACCTTGTGTTGACCTTTGATGCTGATGTGTATTTTTATTATGTTTGTTTCTTTCTTTTTTTTTTTTTTTGTGCTGCCAAATTGGTTTTGCTAGAAAGACTGCTGAAGGGGAATATTTAAACTTGCATTTGAATATAAAAGAATTTCTATTTTTCTAGACCTTCATAAGATAACCACTTGATTTTGTGAACCTGATTCTTTGTAATTGTCTTCAGAGCAGCCTTGCTAGCATACCTTGTGGAGTATTTGTATTTCTGTGAACATACAGCCAATCACTTTCTAGGCTTAGTTTTTTCTGTGTGCTTAGTTTTAAAAACACAGTTTCGAAGAAAAAGTCAATTATATGGTGTGACTCATCTTTCAGGAGACTTCCTAGTCACATTTTGCTGATCTGGTTTCTGTGCTTGAGGAGACAGCATGTGTTTTTATGAGTTCAAACTTGTGACTTGAGTGGCATCAACAGAAAACACTTGAACTACGTTTTCTTCTGATTGTAGCTACATTTTTGCCCTGACATTTATTGATTTTATTTTTTTTCCCCCCGCTTCCCTGTGCGATTATCAGTCTGCAGTGAAAATTTGATCAAAGTTGATGTTGTATTTTGTTAAGCTCCAGCATGCTTGGTTTTTTTGTAACTACAATCTCCTCAGCAAAATGTGATGTTTTTGTTTTAATCTTTCAAACTAAGATAGTGCCCAGAAATGTTTTGCATGTTTCCTGCTGTTTTCTTCACACCCTCGTATATATCACCTTCACCTCTCTGTTTTCTATAGTTTGTGCAAAAACTGAGCAATTTAATGGGTTTTAAAGGTATCCTTTAAATTGGTGTTTTTGGTATGACAAATATCTGATCAGAAGCCACCTGAGGGCATCTACCTGTGCACTTAGACTGTCTGCCTGACAGAGCACCTGGGCCTTGTTCCATCTCCAGTGCTGTCAGAGGCTCCCAGGGGGCTTGGTTGCACTGTTCCTCTACTGGAGGTTTGGGTGGAAGGGGATAGCTGGGGAACAGGAAGATGGGGGAACTTCACAGTGTTTCTGTTTCCAAAGTTACCTGAAGCTAGGGCTCCTTTGAAACACTCTTTATGAGCATTTTATATAATTCAGGGCACATTTTTGTGAAGTCCAGCCCCAGTTTAATACCATCAGTCAGACCTTGGTGGCAGGATCCTTGAAGGACCTAGGTTAGCTCTTTAAATAAAGTATTTGAAATATCCCAGAGAAAGCATTTGTAAACCTGGTCCTACAACTGCTGGCTCTTTTCCCAAGTGACAAGCACAATACAACAGCCTCTGAAGCTGTTACCTGAACAGGGTACCATCCCCAGCTCTCTTCTCAAGGGCCTTAGCTGGGGAATCTCTACGGAGATTTTTTAGTTTTTGTTTTGTTTTTAATTGGGTAAGGAGCTAAGCAGTTTTTCTGACTTGCAGCATGAACTAAAACAGGTTACTGCTTTCTGGGTAGCAGCCTTCCCCTGACCCTACATACCATCTGCACAGGTAGAAACTGGGATGTAGCATCTAGATGAAGGCACCTGAAGAGTGTGTGCTGTGATGAAGTTTCGGTCAAAGGAGAAGCAAGCTAGTGTAGGTATCTTAACTGTAGAAAATAATGTGACATGAAATCCCAGGAGAAGGGGTTTTGCTGAGGAAACAAATCGTGTTTGATTGGATAGAAATCTTACTTTTGTCCAGTGTTTGGGATAATGCAAAGATGCAAAAGGGGTTTTTTTTCTATCCTACTCCTGAGTTGGCTGAGGATACTATATCCTCAATA